TTCAGATGATGGACAGCAATGGCGTACAGCAGAGGGCTTTCCACTGGTGTGAGAGCCCCACAAAGTAATGACTTTAACATCGCTTCCAGTGTTTGACAATCGCTTTCAATGGGAGACAAGAAGTTGTCAATTGGTATCAAAATCTGTGTAAAAAAGTAGACAATTATTACATTAATTGAATTAAAAATCAGGATATATTTGATTGAAAACCTCTTCGAATGATATCTGAATTATACGAAAAGCTGTCGGAAAGTCCACAAAGAGTTTAGTCCTGAAGAGTGGACTGCATTTCGATTGGCAAAAGACCAGCAGATAATTGATGAACAGTTTGTTGCCATAAGACACGGACTCCAACTGATCTACAAATCGTTGATAACTATTGAAAGAAATTGAATGTCATTTAATGGCAGCCATTATTATGTGATATAAATGAATGATAGGATAAGACATACAAATCACCGCAAGTGTCATAATAGGGCACTCTATCCGATATCTGGCATCGGATCCCATCGCCGGCCAGTAGTGTCTTCAAAATGACATACAGTAGCCGTTGAACGCCGTCATCGAAAAAGACTTCTTCAGATATGAGAAACACCGATGAAATGAGACAATAGAACGCCGACGAAGACTGGATCAGTTGTTGACAGTAATTGCGGTGCCGTTTGACCACCGCTGAGATAAACACAAGACACGCGCGAATCTCATCCAACGTCACAGAGTTCTTGGTCTCAACTGATCTGATGAGTGGATCAAAGAGCCAGTGATGGGAATCAAAGCGCGAATGTTTGCCATACAATGTCTTAATGGAGTCTAAATTGTCAACAATATTGGGCTCAAACTCTTTGTCCCGAAGACTCAGTTCAGACATATGTCCAGCAATTCCGGAGGACTCGATGGCGTGAATTGTTTTGTTGAACACAACTTCAGTCAACAGTTTGTGTTTAATGGTCTCATTGGGCGTAAAACTAATCATCAAAAGCGCTAAATTGTGGTAACAGTGGATATCTTCTGCTGAGGAAGTGGTGGATGCGATGGAAGTGGCGAAACACAGGGAACAGATCTCCGAGAGTGCCATCAGTTCATAGCAATCAAATAAATTAAGTTTTATATCGTGTTTAAGATTTTTGGCCACTCTTTGGATATAATCTTTGAATGCGTGTAATTTGTCG